TTTTCTAATCTCTATAATTATATCACTTTCTCTTCTGATTGAGTAGTGATGCTGGATACCTCACAGGGTGGGCACGAGGATGGAATGGGCTCACACTTGTGTATTTGGCTTGCTTCCTGGACATTGTGAAATGTCACAGAAATCAGCTGTGGTTATGGTTGATGGTGTTATTATTTCTTCACTATCGCTACCTATCCTCCTGGTTTCCCTCTTAAAACAAGATGCACATGGTAGGGAAGAGAGGGGGAGGGAACAGAGAGGGAGAAAAGGAGAGAGGGGGGGGGGAACATCTTCATCACGCACCATGCTATCTGTCAGACACTGTTCTGAGGTCATGGGTGTTACTGTATTTAACCCTCCAAGCATCTACAAGGCAAGTACAACCAACCACTAGTACTTATTTTGCAGGTGAGGAAACTGAGGTAGGGAGAGGCAATCGGCTCAATTTTGCCATTGTGTCATAGGCTGATAGTGGTCACCTTGTCTTCACTGTACTCCTTACCTAGGCTCTGAGTTTACTCACTGCTGTCTGGAAGGAAAAAGAGCCAAACTGTCCTGGGCCATGTGTGGAGGGAACACCAGTCTGGACTCCATGCCACCTGGCAGACCTCCTGTGTCTCTGATGGACACTTTGGGGTATAGGGAGTGTGGTTTATTCCTGCAGCCCCCACAGTGGAGTTAGGGCACCCTGGGTGCTCCTCCTTTACTTCATGGACTCTCTCTAAATTATACAACTACAGCTCCAACCGAGGGTCAATCTAGAAAACAGGCCCACATTCCATGCCACCCAGCCTCCCTCCCTGCAGCTAGTCTCTCATGGTCTCTGCACAGTCACGCTCACACTGCTACATTGTAGCTTTGCAGCCCTTTTATCTGAGGCAACTCTGCTGTTCTTGTCTTCAAGTGTGTCCACAGGATGCCAGAAAGTCAATTCTCTCCATGGTTTCAATGTATCCCAGTCCCAATTGTGGGTTTCCCTGACTCTTTTTTTCTTTTTGAATTAGTATGCAAATTTATATTAATTTTAGATAAATGGTAAAATTATGTGTATAACAAAGACTTGTTTTAAAACAAAATTCTTGATGATTTTCTAACAACATTTCTGCTTTTCTTCTTTTATGCTGTTAGTACAGTTTGACTTATGAAGGGCTAAGCTCAAATTCTACTTACTGCTACTTAAGGATGACTTTTGAGGAAAAAGGCTTCTTAGCTCAGAACCCCTGAAAACAAATTAAAATCCTCCTTAGAGGAAAACTGCTTCAGGACCATGGAAAGTTCCCAGCCTGCATGCTCCCAAAAGCCAGGACCAGGAAGCCTTTCAATACACAGTTCTTGTGGTCCTGATGCTGTGGTCCTCCATCTCTGCACTCCTTTTAAAAAAGGGCCGCACTCCCTGCGCTTACTGTGTGTGAAGTCTGGGTAAGCCTGATGTCCACTATCTTTTCCTGCCCTTACTGCCTGGAGGGAAAGCAATGGCTTGCCGGAAGGGACACTTGCAGGACAGCTAGACTCGAGTGCACGGTGTGGCAGAAGCCACAGGAGACCCTGCCACCCAGGTAGAAGGAAGGAGAGAACTGACTCCTGAAAGTCCACTGACTTTCACCTGAGCTAACATGAACAGAATAAATAAAGATGTGGTACCTGCATGCCCTTGTTCACACACATGCCGCACACTAAATCAAATTTAAAAATTGAGCAAAGGATTGAGAGACAGCAACATTTTGTTGCCCATCAGTCAGGGGAACTTTGTTAAAGCATCCTTGTTAAGTGCCTAAGCCTTCTCTCCCAGGTCTATGTGCCGCCGACCTGTCTCTTTCCCACAAGCGCTCAATCTGGCTCCATGGCAGTTGTAAGATAATTGAGGGTCATGGTGGAAGGGTGTTCCAGACAGGGGAAGAACTTATGCAAAAACCCCAAGGCAGGAAGGGGCTAAAAATGTTGGTGGTACAGGAAGTGGGCCAGTGTAGTCAGATTCCCTGGAGCCTAGAGGGTGGAGACGGGGGCAGAAGATGATCCCTGTGGGGCAGAACGGGAGCTTGGATTTGAACTCTTTTGGTCTTTAGACTGGCTTCTATATCACCTGGCTAGTCTCTTCCCCCACTGCCCAGTACATGTGTGTAGAAAGAGAGAAGCCGGGCCCAGCCCAGCAGAGCAGAGCATTGCTGTCTTCAGCACCCTTTGTTTCAGGCGCCTTAGACTACAAACGCAAACACCTCACTGCCGCCAGGAGCAATAGGAAAAAAAAAAATCAGAAAATAGAGAGGAGAGGACAAATCATCTCTTCCAACCCCTGCTGAGCATGCAGAGTGAGGGACATATGGAAATTAATATATTCGGCTCTGATAACACGGTTTTCCTCGACGTTTTGATTAAACGCTGACGGTTATTAAATACCCTCCTCCTCCGTGCTCAGCTCCGAAAGCCAGTGTTGCTTTTCATTTTGAACTCTGATGGAACTGTCGCGGGCTGCTCACACACCTCAGCTGAGCCTCAGCCCGCTGCAGGCTGGCATCGGAGGGGAATGGAGAAAATCGATATGAGATGTCAGGCGGGAGGTCAGAACGCAGGCCTCCCCCTGTTGGCAGGCTCTGGGGCCGGTGGCTTTGGAACAAAGGGAGGTGTGCCCTGAAGAAGGTCAGCTTTTTGGCCCAGTCAGGGAAATGAATCTATTTCTTCTTAATTAGATTACCAGGCTGGTGCCTTGCAACGAAGAGCTGGACCAGGCTGGGGTGGGTAATGGGCAGCTTTGCTGAAGGCTTGGAATGTACCCACTAGCTCCTGGGTCTCCCTAGGGACTGCGCTAAGGACTTTGATCTTGTAGGGGTGGCTGGAGGGAGGAGCAGACTCTGGGGGCTCCTGGGCAGGTATCCTGAGAGACTTCCTGCTTCTGTGTACAGGATGGTCCTTTCCTATACTCCTCCTACTCCTTGGTCTTTATATTTCAGCTCAGCGACCATTGCCTTGTAAGGTCCCCATGATGCTAGCTGTCAGTGCAATGCTTCATGCCACTTGGGAAACTGGCGATGCTCTAGGTGTTCGTGATCCTCTAACAGAGGCAGGTGTCTTTACCTTTCCATGTGCTTCGTTTTCTCTGTCAACTTGACTGGTCACAGGTGCTCAGCTGCTTGGTCTGACATTCTGGTTTCTCTGCTAGGGTGTTTTGGGATAAGTTTAACATTTAAATCAATAGACTGAATAAATATTAATGTGGAGGAACCTCATCCAATGAGGTGAAGGCTTGCTCGAAAGAAAGAATTGGTCCTCTTGTGAGTGGCAGAGCTTCTCTCCACCTGACTGGTTTGGGGTTACGGTGATTGCCCATTGCAGTCGAATTGAGACTCTTGGCTCATCAGCCCGGTGGCACATGGATAAGACCGTCCCCTCTCCCAGAAATTTAGCTTGCTGGCTGCAGATCTCAGGATTCAGTCTTCATATGTGAGCCAGTTTCTAATAATAAATCTCTTTATGCATGCCACCTGCCATTCCCCCTGCTCTGTTAGACCTTGGCTAATACAGCGAGCTCCGAGAGACAGAGAAGTACTGCTTTTGCTCACCCTAGAGTCTCCAGAGTTGGATGTAGTGCCTAGCATATGGCATGTACTTGGTGAATCTGAATAGTGAGTAATGGGGCCTCTTGTATCCGGTAAAAGGGTAGGGGTTCTAAGTACCTTACAGCGACAGGCCTGGGGGCGGGGTTCAGAGGAGGATGGGAGCCATTCTGGATGCTGTCTTATTGCTCTCTTGTCATGATCAGAAGATGGCAGTACTATCTTATTCAGGTAACAGTGTGGATCTCTGCCCACATGCCCTGTGGGGGATGTGGGGCTCAGGAAGATTACCCGAGGTCACATGGGTACCAAGTGCCAGAGTTCAGCTCTCCTCCCCAAGTACTGTTGTAAACCATTCTCATCTAAAAACCTTCGAAAGCCTTGTCCATTCTCCAGCTTGAGTGCTGGGCTCAGCCGGCCAGTCAGTCCACAGTCTGTTCTTCTGCATTCAGGACTCATGTGGGCCTGCCTGACTTTAAAACCCAGGCTGGTCGCTGCCACACTGGCTGTGATGGCATCACAGCTGCCCCCCTCCCCCGCCTCAGGAATATCTGTGGGTCAGGGTCCCTCCCACCTTGTTCCATATTCACCTACCAGAGAGAACCCTCCCAGTTAGCTCAGGTTACCCCACACTCAGCAGGTCCCAAACAGAACACAAATGCTTCATGCCTAATAAGACTTCTGGAAGCCCCCATCCCATATACAGTTCATGTCAATCCTTGGGTGTGTCTTCCTCCCCCTTTCCCCTAACCCTGCATTTACTCCTACCTCTTCCTTTCCTGCTGCTACCATACCATGGTTCTCAACTTTTGGGTCACAACTCCTTTGGGGGGCGGGGTCACATATCAGATATTCTGCATATCAGTTATTTATATTATGATTCATAACAGTAGCAAAATTACAGTTTTAAAGTAGCAATGAAAGTAATTTTGTGGTTGGGGGTCAGCACAACATAAGGAACCGTGTTAAAGAGTCGCAGCACTAGGAAGTTTGAGAACTTTTCCTCATCTCCTTTGTTTCTTCACTACCCACCCCTCATAGTCCGCAAATCTGGGAAACTCTGCTGTTGAGACCAATCTGGATTTCTCTGCTGCTGACCACGACACCCCATTTCCTTGTCACCGCCCCCCTTTAACAGTCTCTTCACTGTTTCCCCAGGGCCGTTCTTCCTCCCCATAGCAGTGAATGACCTCCACAGAGAATTCAGATCAGATCCCACTGCTCAGCCCTTGCTGGCAGGGTTCTCCCTGCATCTGTGTGCTTCCAACTTGAACATGGGGCTTCCCCTTCTCAGGAACAATAAATGTGGGGCTGACTCCCCAGTCAGCCTAACACTTGTGATTTCTTTAGTCCCAGTGTTAAATGAGATGGAACCCTTCCAGGGCCCCCTCCTCCCACATGTCAGAGGCCAGGACACCTCTCTCCCCCAGGGCCCTTGTGCCGGGTACTCACACTTGGTGTGCCTGTCACACAGGGCGGATGCCCGCATGTCGCACAGCCGGATTGTCCCCTTGCTGCTGCTGTATACAAAGGTGTTGCAGTGATGGGGGTGGAACTCGGCTGCCGTGATCACCTCTGTGAGTTCCTCCATGTTGGCTGGCTTGATGTCCACGATATCTGGCACAGACGAGTAAAGGAAGGACAAGGAGAAGCGGGGAGAGCCTGGGGCATGAGCGGCCCTTGCTGTGAGCGCTTTGGGAGCATTTACCGCCTACAGGGGCATCTCACTGGGAGGCCATTAGCAGAAAAGCAGGCAGCAGTCATTTCTGGCAGCTGAGGCTCAGGGACTTTAAGGGATGGGGGCTACCCCGTAGTCAGTGGTAGCATTAGAACTTAGGTCTAAGCTGGGTGTGGTGGCCCATGACTCTAATTGCTGAACTGTCTAGCCTGGGCCACACTGTGAAACCCTGTCTCAATGAACTCAAGTTTCCTGACTCCTCGATTCTATTTCATCTTCTGTGACGTGTAGAGGAAGAACTCACACTTGGCCGGGAGATCACTTGAGAGTGTCTCCCACCCTAGAGCAGTAGCTAAAAATCCAGCCAGTGCCGCTGTAGCCAAACTATTGATTTTGAACTCTTCCTGGGATCTCGCAACAGGCTGCAAATCCTCTTCCGTGAACTATCCACAGAGCCATAGCAGGTGCCACTCAGGGAAGGGTCATTAAAAAGTCTCTCAGGATGCGTAGCCCGAACTTTGTCTCATTTAATCCTTACAACAATATGACGAAGAGCACTTTTACACCCATTTTCAGGGCTGGGAGTGGAGGCTGTGTGAGCATTCAAGAGGTTTCCATAAGAGACGTGCTTAATGGACTGGGGAGAGAGACACTCAGCAGGTGAAGGTGCTTGCTGCTAAGCCTGCTTGAGCTGAGTTTGATCTCTGAGACCCATGGGTAGGAGACAATTAACTTCCACAAAGTGTATTCTGACTTCCACAGGCAGGCAGAGGAACATGTTCACTACTCACCTATACACACACTCTATCTATCTATCTATCTATCTATCTATCTATCTATCTATCTATCTATCTAGAGATATAGAGGTAGATGTATATACATACATACATACAATACATACATACATATATATCCAGGTGCAAAGCCTGGGAGATTTTAGAATTGCCCAGATTATCTCAGGCCTTTTAGTCTCCATAAGCTATAATTTTCTAGGGCTGGGGTTTTGGGTGGGAGCTTAAGTGTCAGAAAGAAATCATCTATGTAGAGTGAGGGTTTGGGATAATGTGGGGTATACTCAGTTTTAGCCAGCAGATTCCCACCTCCCCACTCTCCAGTATATCCCTTTGTAATATATATATATATACATATATATACACATATATATACATGTATCACATATACATATATATGCACACGCACACACATATGTATATATACATATATAGGCACAACGTACACACATATGCATATGCATGCATACATTTGAGGCTATAGCCTTATATATCAGAATGAAACATTTAGGCTTATGTTTATAAAAGCAATTCAGTGTAGATAAAAACAAATTCTTTCCAAGGATATATAGCAGAAGTGAAGGCATGGGCTTGCATATGCCCTGCCATATCCTGGCTGGAGCTGAGGTTCTGTCTGGGGACGAGCTGTACCTTGTCATGTGGATACTGTGGTGCAGCAGAGCTGAGCAAGGGACCTGCATTCCACCGACTCTACTACTCACAGGCCGCCTTTCTCATGTTTGCCCCATAACCAGTTTTTTTTTAAACTTATCATGTTTTTCTTTAGATTGCCTCACTCTTCATCTCAGCTAAGTAGTCAGCCAATATTCACGAAGGGACGGGTTCAATCATCTACATGAAAACGAACACACAGTGATTAAAATGAAAATGTGTGGGCCAGGAATCGTTGTGCCACGCTTTGGAAAAAAAACCACGCTGCATGAACGAACAGTCGCTTGACAGAGGCCATCCTAGAGATGCTTCTGCCTAAGCAAGCAACACAACTCCCTCTTTGGCATGGAGACAGGCACAAACATGCAATAAGCTCATATTTTGAGTCCTACTAGCACCAATAAGGTAGCCATGTACAAACCAGTGTAGACACGTACTAGCTAACAGCATCTAGGTTCCCGCTAGATCTGTTGCCACATGGGATTTGTTCCAACGGCTTTGTACAGGGTTGTGCCTCTTGCTATTTGATTTATCTTAGATCATCCCGTTGCAGTCTTTCTAAAATTAGTATGAGCCTGTGCTAACATCACCTTTTGGCACATTTTCATCTACCAAAAGCAGATGCAAAGATTACTTGGTTCAACAGGGCATACACAGTCCTGGATTAACAAAACACTACCTCTCAACTAAGCCTCTGCTTTTGGGACACACACCTGGGACACCCAAACAGTTCGGGAGGGGCTGCAGGCTGCAGCTCTGATGTGCTTTCTGGCTGCTAAGCTGCGCCTTGGGCTTGGCGTCGTTGGATAGGATAAGCAGAGAGGATCCTGTTCAGTCGCTCCCTACCCCACAGTGCCAGCAAGCATGTTTTCCTTCTTCCAAAGTAAGTAGGGGAAAATCTGGTGTCAGCTTTCCCAGCCTTTGTAAGTATAGCTCAGCAAACAAGCTGCGCTGGGAGGGATCTTCACTGTGTGGGAGAGGGAGGTGCTACAGCCACAGCTATTTTTTATCGACCTAAAAATAAAGCCCCGAAGTCAGAAGATGAGAAAACAAAGTGCCTAAGCACATCTGCGCCTTCAGGAGCTTCCTGCCACCATTGAGGACATCTTCCTGGAGCAGAGTCCAGTTGATCTGCCTCTGTCCACTGTTTCCAGATCCATCCTGCCTCCCACCCACCCTTCATCTGAAGCCACTTGATTTGTCTCCAGGATCTGAGTCTCCCTCCTACAGTGCTTGGGTTTGACTCAGGTTTGGTCAAGGGAAGAAGCCATGATTCTATTCCTTTTTAGCACAACCGTAGCTGTTGTTTACCAAGTGCTGAGCTTGCCTGGACTAAGCGTCTTATAGTCTCATTTGTCCTTCATTCCAGGCAGACAAAGTCAGTGCCATTAATAATCCTAATTTACAGCTGACAAAATAGAGGAAATAAATTTTTCTCTCTAATAAGAACAACCTTTTGTTTTTTAAATCTGTTCTTTATCATTTTTATTCATGTATTTATTACATTTTGGTGACTTTGACCCCATCCTTCTTTGTCTCCTTCTGGCTCCTATCAACCTCTCATCTTCATGAGGTTTCTCTGTGTAGCTTTGTTGGTCCTGGAACTTGCTCTGTAGGCCAGGCTGGCCTTGAACTCAGAGATCTGCCCGCCTCTGCCTCCCCAGTGCTGGGATTATAGAGGTGCACCACCAATGCCCACCCTTCACCTGTTCTTTATGTTCCTTTCCCATAATCAAACACTTTTGGTTTTTGTTTATTTTTTTGAGACCCAATGAGCTTACCCGGAACCATCTGTGTGACTGTGGCCTTACATTATTTATTTTGAGTGTGTGTGTGTGCACATATGTGCCAAGGTGTGCAAAGGACATTGGTGCAGTTGGTTTTTTCCCTTCCACTGCGTGGATCCTGGGGATTGAACTCAGGTCATCAGTCTTGGTGGCAAGAGATTTGCTGAGACAATTAGCTGACCTCTGAGATAAATTTCTTCGGGTCGGATATGGGGTAGAGCTGGGATTTGCACTCAGGCTTGTGCAAGGATTCTTTACATGAAGCCACACAGCATCCTGGGAAGAACGGCCCCACCCAACCAGTTTCCTTGAGTGGGTTTGTCTGGCTCTAGAGGAACAGTGACTAGCTACTGTGTGTGTGTGTGTGTGTGTGTGTGTGTGTGTGAGAGAGAGAGAGAGAGAGAGAGAGAGAGAGAGAGAGAGAGAGAGAGATGGAGATCTACCTCCTTCGAATTTTGTCCCTGAAAACTCACCAACTACATTTCAACGATGGTATTTTCCAGAACACGAACTTTTATGTCCTATGCTATAACTGATTTGCTTGAACTAGATGTTGGGAGAAAAATCTGACAAGGGCTTTCATGTCCTATTTTCCAAGGGAGGACTTTGCTGAATTCTTGAAACGTGTGAGAGAGTCTGGCTGGCAAAATTTGCTGTCTTCTGAGGAAGGCAGGAGGAAACTCACACCGATGCCCGGAAACCCAGGCCATTTCTCTCTCCTGTTCCAAAGGGGGATGTGTGGCTTCAGCTCACAAGTTTCCCCCTTCATACTGGGAAGGAGAGAGAAAGGCGCTAAGCAATGTGAGGAGCCCTGTATTACTGGAAAGTGGAATGATGTATTTTGACAGTCAATTTTCTCCATCTGATCCTTTTGAGCACTCTATCCATATTATTTCCCTGTTGTTCCAAAGAACTAAACAGCAAAAGATATCACTGAGCGCGTGCCTAATATACAACCCAGACAGCCAACAGATTGCCATTAAATTAACCCTGGGGCCTGACAGGTCTGCTCTTTTCGACCCCAACTGCTTGGGGGTATTCCTTATTAATGCTAAACCCAGGCAAATTACCTCTATAACAAAAGGGGTTAATCTGACTCTTGGGGGGGGGGGGACTCTGGAGACAGCTCTGAGGATGAGATGGGGCATAGCCAGCCTGGCAGCTGAGCTCCATGCTCACAAGGCAGAAGGCAGGAAGGTGAGGGCACTACTGTGCCAGGCAGTTGCCTAAGGCATCATTGAAAGTAATAATTGAAGACATCGGGAGGTCACCCCTCCAGGGATTTGCTTTGAACAAATAAGCAGCCCAAGCCATAAATTACAGCACCAGTAGGATGAGGGGGCGGATGGGATCAGGACTGGGTGGCGAAGGGAGTGGGGAGCCTTTCACTCACTTATGTCATCCACGTTCGGAAGACCCAAGCTCTCTATACCTGTCCTTCCCCTGCCTCCCGTCAATGGCAACATTATGAAAGATTGACACCAACCTAAATAAATATGCAGAATCACATGATAAAGTGAACTTTAATAAACCTGCTATTAAATTATTTTTGCAGTGAAATGTACAAGTATGTAAAAAAAAGTCCGCATTGTATACAAAATTCTACTCTAGGAACCTAATGCCATTTGAGCCTATATCTGAAAGGGATGAGCTGCAAGGGAGGAGGGACATGGAGCTGCTTGTGGTGAT